CCCATTTGTAAAACAAGAAATGGCAGCCCTGGCGTGTGTTTGCTCCATATGAAAGATCAAGCTAAAATAACTTACACGGAAACATATTTGAGTGTACACCGTAAAAAAAAGGTATTTTACCGAACTTTTAAGGTTTGGCACTTTTGTACGAAACGATTTTAAGTTCGGTGACACAAAAATCGTTTCGTAATTTTCATACAGAACTTTTTAAGGTCCGAAAATTTTAGAGAGTTTCGGCGCTTTGCTACGAAACCGTTTCGAAGTTCTGTCCGTTGTGTGCTGAACCTTGATAGTTTCGTGTTCTCGATGGAAAACCATTGACAGTTCCGTAGACCGTCTCAAGGTTCCGCATAAACTTTACGAAGCCACTCATAGTTTCGTACCTACTTTAATAGTACCGCACATATTGTACGAAACTGGGTATGGTTTTGTAAAAGATATACCGATCCATTGTATCGTTTACAAAACTATTCATAGTTTCGTACGACGCATACAGAACCCTTTGATGTTTTATGAATTTTTCAATGGTTTCGTAAAATTTGTATTTAACCTTTACAACATGTACGAAACGAATCATGGTTTCGTATCAGATATATGAAACCTTTTGATGCCTTACGAAACTGCTAATAGTTTTGTAACATGTACACGAAACCTTCAGATAATTGACGAAAATGTGAATGGCTTTGTATAAGATATACCAAGCCATTAGATTTTGAATGAAACTATTTATGGTTTCGTATGAGATATCCGGAGTCTTCACATGGTCGGCGAAACTACTAGTGGTTTCGTACAATGTATAAGAAACCATTACATGACTTTCGAAACTATTGATAGTTTTGTAAAAGCGTGCGAAACCTTCACACCCCGTACAGAACTATATATGGTTCCGTACTGCACATATGTAACCTTTTAATGCTCTAAGAATCTGCTAACGGTTTTGTGTGAGAGATACGGAACATCTAAATGTCCTTCGAGACTGTGGGTGTGGGTGTGGTTGAACTAGTGGACAACTCACACCCACAACGCCCACACCCGCACCCACATCCACACCCACCCACATCCACACCCACACCCATCCAAACCCACACCCACACCCACACCCAGTGTTTTTAAACCAAATTTTAAAGTATCCAGTGCACGAAAGTATGAGCTTTTGATTGAATTGCATCACTGTCGTCTGAGTGCTAACTAAAAGTTTGATTTTTACGTGTTTAATAACGCTTACTTTGCACTCTTTTTTTCACATCTGTATAAATTCACATACTGTGGACATTTTTTTGTTCGTCTTCTATCTCAGTTTTATTTTTGCTTCTAAAATATTAACTTATTCATTAGCTGTTTCTTGTAACCTTCGAACATGCGTTTCTTCTTTATAGTGGTTTGCATCATAGCCGTTATTTTACGTTTAACAACAGGATTGCCTCATGATCGCATGCGTCGTGGCCCCGTCGATCTGAGTGGTTTAACTGGTAACGGTGGAATGTCGTTTATATGTGTATTTCCACCATGTCCAGTACAACCGCTTGTCTTACCGTCAATGATTGATTGGGATTGGGATGCTATTCATGCAAGCATTGCACAATGGAACAAAGAGCAAGAAGAGTTATTATTATCGAAAATAGATGATTAAAAATTGAACTAATTTTCAAATAAACCTCTTTCATGCACTTGGTTAAAATGACTTCTTTTACTGATTAATAACACACAGGATCGTATAATGACTAATTTTGAGCCATCTTAAGTTCTTATCTATCCATGATTTACCTCATGCCGAGTTTTGCAAACAGTGCTGTCTCAATTTTTTTTCGGAAGTTTTTCAGAAATCGTCGAGCAAAAAAAACGAAAATTCGAGTCGAAGTTTTCCGTTGAAAAACATTTCATCGACATTTCCGCAAGACGCTCTAGACTCTCGCGGAGGGTGTTGGTGTGGGTGTGGGTGTTGGTATGGGTGTGGGTGTGTGGGTGTGGGTGTGGATTAGGGGTGTCAGGGTTCCGTTCCCAAGGAACGGGAACCCACTTGGTTATTCATTTCTATGCATGTTTGAACGCGCTTGAGTTCATAGACATACTTTTTCTTTCGTTTTGAGCAAGTCACTCAGGGTTCCCGGGTTCCTGGGAACGGGAACCCATACCGGCTTTCGGGTTCCTAGGAACGGGAACCCAGTTGAAAATTCATTTCTGTGCATTTCTGAACACACTAGAGTTCATAGACATACTTTTTCTTTCGTTTTGAGACAAGTCTCTCCGGGTTCCCGAGAATGAGAACCCGCATCGGGTTCCGGGTTCCTAAGAATGAGAAACCCTGTTGCAAATCGTTCAGAATAGAAATTTAGGTGCGATTCCCAGTTTTTGGGAACTCGGTGTGGGTTCCCGTTCCTGGGAATCCGGAACCCGGTGCGGGTTCTCGTTCTTGGGAACCCAGGAAACGGAGAGACTTCTCTCAGAACGAAAGAAAAAGTATGTCTATGAACTCTAGTGTGTTCAAAAATGCACAGAAATGAATAACTAAGCGGGTTCCCGTTCCTAGGAACCCGGAATCCGGTGCGGGTTCCCGTTCCCAGGAACGGAACCTGAAACTGATACCCCTAGTGTGGATGTTGATGTGACTAAGGAGAAGGTCTAGACCCACACCCACACCCCACACACCTACACCCACATCCACCCCCACCCCCACACCCCCACACCCGCATCCACACACACACCCACACTCTTCGTATATAATGATTACAGTTAGGATTAGTTGAATTAAACAGCTTGAGGTTTTTATCCTGAGATTGAAAAGTACACTTCGGAGGCTTTGAAGTTACAAGAAATGTATTTATTTGCAAAGTATTAGATTGGTAAAGTATCATAGCTATCGAAAAAGGAAGTATAATTTTATGGACATAAACCATCATTAGCAGTAAATAGCCACAATACTAGGCCAAAAGCATATTTTGTTAAAGTTTAAAGTTGATTAGCGTTGATGTCGTGTATACATATACGTAAGGATTTAACATGGCACGATAAATATAAAAGACAACGGAAAAAGTTTTCGTAAGGTCTAGTTCGTACACCAACAACCAGATTGGTTTTAGCAATAGAAAAATGCGTTTCTTAACTATAATTGTTCTTATTACTTTTACAACCACTTACATATGTGCTGATGATCATCAGATGCATATTGATTAGCAATCTCTGATCAAAATGCTCATTTAATCAAGAGACAAATATGGTTGTGATACAGCAATCGCTAGCTGTGGTCCAAAGGGAAAATATTACGATTGGCATGATGATTGTTTTAAGAAGCATGGATGTCGTGTAAATAGCTGAGATTGGTCGTGTAAGCAAAGTTCGTCTTACTAGGCTTGTTTATATACTTTACTTGATTTATATTTGTCCAGGGATACCAGGTGCAGAATTATTCGATCCTTGTGCTCAATGTAACGAAAGCTGTTTCCAAATGTATCACTAGTTTGATTGTGTGGCCTGGGCCAAGCGAATGCTGCACAAACTGAAACTGTGGACAAGGAACACCATGAGCTTGGTTACACACAAGAATACATTATATCAAACATTTCTCTTGATTTTATTAACCAAATTTCCATATAACATTTGAATTCACCCGAAGAAAAGTAGCAAGGATCAAACCTTCCTCGAATAATGTCTTCTACAAAATGAAACTTATGAATAAGCTTCATACTGTTCGATAATCTCAGCAACTACCAAGATTAGATTCATTTTTTTATGGGCTTGCAGCGAATTCAACAAAATCTGCACACTAGTTTGAAAATGAGAATGTACATTTGATTGCACGTGTTGCTATGAGAATAGAATGCATCAGTCCTCACACATACATCTATGTCCTCAGTTTTAATAAGATTGAAATTTCAATCAATTTTGAAAAATACACTCGTTATCAACTGTATATCTGATTCAAAATGAACTTATTGATAAATATCGTTGAACAAAGATTGTTTTCTCATGGAAATATAGGATTGAAAGCCCATCTCAATCAAATTTTTTCTGAAGAAAAAGTATTTTTCAGCAAAAAACCAGCCTAACTCTTGAATAATCAAATATAATCTTGACTGTTGGCGGTGCGATATAGAAAAGCCAAGAAGACAACGGTCGCAAATTTCAACTCAGAAGATTTTCTTTATCTTTAGCACAAAGCGTAGTGAATGTACGCGTTTAGCAGGCCTATACAGTCTACCTGTACGTACCAATACAGGTTAGAGAAGATATTTCAAGCTTCGAGAAATTACTGGCTGTAGGAAATATTTTCTTCATCGAAAGATCTGACTACAAGAACGTTTTCCTCATACTAATAACAGTATAAGCTTCTCACACAAGTTCTTTGATTTAACTAAACAAGTCTTAACTTTGT